AAAAAAAAAAAAAAAAATGACTGGTAGGTTGGGTATGTGGCACATGCCTGTGATCCCAGCCTCAAGAGGCTGAGGTAGAAGGATCCCAAGTTCAAGGCCAATTGGACTACACAGTGACTTTATGGCCAGCCTAAACAACACAGCTAGACTAACCTAAAAACAAAACCATGCTTCGATCATTTGATACGTGTTTGGTTATAGAAAGGTACTATAATGTTTATTTAAAATATTGCTGATAGGTAAACCTAATAGTTTACCTAGTTAAGGACTCTTGAAACCATGCCAAATTTTACTGACATTGTCTTTGTGATATTTTATTTTATGGATTTTTAATTTCTCCAAAAAGAAAACAAACCTTTATCTAAATATTCAGTTAATATTTCACAATCTATACTTTGAATCATAAGCAGAAAGACTTGCTTGTTTTAAAGAATTATTGTTTGGCATCTTAAGAATTATCTAAATAAACCAGATTCTTGCTTAACAAACAAAAGCGAGTGCTGAGGCCAGGAGGCTGCCTTGGTCTGACCCTCAGGCCAGGCTTGCAGGGCTAGTGGCAGACTGGCAGGATGGCCCTTGCTTCTGGTGGCCAGGGGCCTTCCCAGCTGATGGGCAGTGTATGCATGGGTCCTACTGCTATTCTGGGACCTGCGGGTCCAAGGGAGGAGGGCATGAGCTCTGTGCTGCTGGCTGGACACCCCGGGGACATTATGTCTGCAGTGAAGCCCTCTTACCATGTCCTCTCCCTTGGGAGTACACAGCACTGCTGGGACAAAGACAGACTCTGCGGCCACCTCAGAGCCTGTCACAGGGGAGCCTAGGCCCCACCCTGCCTGCAGCTTGTGCTATTATGAGGCTAGACCCTTTGAGTCACACCAAGGGTAAATTGGAGCGCTGACTTTTTAAACCAACAAATTCATAGTAACATTCATTTGCAGTGTTTTCTTGACCGACTTAATTTACCAGTTTATAAATATTTTGTAACTTTTTCTTCCTGATACCAGGGCCACCCACATGTAAGGCAAGCACTCTACTATCCCACCAAGCTATATTCCTAGCCCTTTTGTTTTTTATTGTGAGACAAGGTCTCACAAAGTTGCCCATTGTGACCTCCAATTTGAGATCCTCCTGCCTCAGCTTCTCAGTAGCTGGGGTTGCACCACTATGCCTGGCTTGTTTTATAACTTTTAAAGAATATTTCTTGGCAAAAGTAATCATTTTCAGCTTTCAGAAAATATGCAAGGGCTAGGTTTTGGGGAATGAATTACCCTAGATTTGGTTCATACCTGTACCTGTAGTAAAAAGCAACCCAGCATGGGGAACATACCCTTCACCCAGACCTACTTTGGGTGAAGGGTCCAGGCAGGCACCTGCCCTCAGCCTGGGGCCCACCTCCCTCTTCCCTCTTCCCTCCCACAGTGTGAAGCACATTTCCTGCCCCTTGCTTATCCTGCACGCGGAAGATGACCCAGTTGTACCCTTTCAGCTTGGCAGAAAGGTGAGCCTTCTGGGCCAGTGTCTGCCCAGCTGGGGAGGGGTGTGGGTGGTCTGGGACACCTCCAGGCCTCTTGAGAATGTCACACATGGGCAGTCTGGAAAGGGGCTAGGGTTCAGCCATGCTGCCTTTGCCAGCCACAAGAGGAACCATAGTACATTGCTGGGTGTGGTTCTGTACACCTGTAGTCCTATTAATGAGGCTGGAGGGAGGCAGGAGGATCCCAGTGGGTTGGAGGGCAGCCTCAACTACAAAACTAGAACCTGTCTCAAAAAACCAAACCAAAACAAACAAGCACATGGATCTTAGGTCCTCACACCCAGGTCAGGGTGGCTAGAGAAGAGTTGTGTGGGGCTTCAGTGTTTGATTTTGCTGAATCTGCTTTGACTTTGCTGCCCGGAAGCAGGACTAGATTTGTGAAGAGGGGTGGAGCACGCCCAGGACAACAGGGGCAGGATGTGTGCTGCTTCCATCTGGGAGGCTCCCAGGTGGGCTCTGTGGGGTCACAGACAGCACAGCCCTGGAGAATGGGAGCTGCCCAGCAGTGTACCACTGGCTGCACCTTGGCCGTGGAAAAAAGGGCTGACTAGCCTGGACTTGGGAACACAGTTAACCGTGAGGCCCATGCCTTCTACCTCAGGGCCTGCTCACCCATCCCAAGGTATCCCTGTCTTGGGCCTGCTTTAAAGGAAAGGCATCTGGGAGGGTGAGGTCAGGGGTTTGCTGAGGAGCCACACTGGGGGTCTGCCTTTGCCCCAACCCCTGACTGATGGGCAGCCTCACAGAAGCACAGTACACTGGAGTAGCCACCAGTTGGTCTTCTTGGGAGGGAGACGAGAGCCACCCCATCCCCGGCAGGTGCTGTCTGAGCTCTGACTGGTTTCTCTCCCTCCAGCTGTACAACATTGCCGCACCATCGCGAAGCTTCCGAGACTTTAAAGTCCAATTTGTCCCCTTTCACTCTGACCTCGGCTACAGGCACAAGTACATCTATAAGAGCCCAGAGCTGCCACGGATCCTGAGGTGAGGCTCCAGCTCCTAAGCCCCTGGGGACCTGGCCTGGGTAGCAGCATCACAACTGTGATACAGTGGGAGTAGTGCTGAGGCTGCAGGGGCACTGAAGGGTGTGATTCCAAGCCTTCCACCCCCACAGAGGGCGGTGTTCACTACACAGACAGGGCAGGTGTTCTCCCATGTCCTGGGCCACAAGCACGACAGGAGAGCCCGGATACCCCCAGCTCACACAGGACAAAAGCCCTGCCATTGCTGGTCCAGCCTCGGCCCCTCCCTCTGGCTTGGAGGCTGCTGCCCTGCACCCAGAAGGCGGGCCTACGCTTCCAAAGTCCTTCAAAGGGAAGCTCAGTTCCTGACTGGTCAGAATGCGTGGCAGACCGTAGTCTGAAGCCTAGAGAGAGAGCCAAGGGTACACAGCTGGACCCGGTACAGAGCAGAACCCAAGCTGCCAAGGCTAGGGAGAGCTGGTGTCTTTTGGAGCAGGACCCCACCCCAGCCTGTAGCATACTACTCGGCTCACCTCCCGCCTGCCAGAATCACCCCCCTTGCTGTTACTGCCATACACAGCCACGGTGCACTTCTTCCTGCAGGTCACTGAAATTGGTGGCTGGAGCTCCCTCCCGGCCAAGAGGCTCCTCCTGTGCACAGCCTGAGTGCCCAGGGCAGAGCTGGGTCCGTGGCGTTGCCCCTGCTCGGCTGAGGGTTCCAGAGCTGTGCTTTGGGGTCCTGGCCCACCCCATTATGAAAAGAACACTTTTCACAGCTTAGGTTCTCAAAAGGGATGGGAACCCAGCCAGGTCCTGTGTCCTCACAGCTCACGGTTGCCCTCCTCTGACCTAGGGAGTTCCTGGGAAAATTGGAACCTGAGCGCCAGCACTGAGCCACCGCCTCCCCACCCCAGGAGCATGAAGACCAGACCGCCGCCTCCCTGTTTTCCTCGGGCAGCAGTGGTGTTGGGACAGGGGACCCTTGCTGGAAAGGGACCCACAGGGGTGTGGGTGGGTGGTCCTTGAGCTGTCGCAGCATAGGCCCAAGGGGACAAGGACATGGAGATGCTCTTCCGCCCGGTGTGCAGGATGTACCTCGCTGCTCGGCCCTCTTGCTACCCGACACTAGCCCATGTGGGACCAGGTCTGCATTTCCCTGTCCCACCTGCCTGCCCACCTAACCTGGCCGTAGACTGAGCATTTATTTAAGAATAAAACTGGCGGTGATCTGTCCTTCTCTGCTAAGCGAGGGGGTCAGGGAAACTCGCTGGGCAGTCTCCAGCACCCTGCCTGTGGCTCCTGTCCCAGTGCCAGGGCCTGCTCATGGCAGCGCGCTGCCTACATCAAGGTCTGGCCAGTGGACACTCCCGCCCCACGATTCAGAGCTCTGCATGGCTTCAAAGGAAAGTTTACAGCTCCCCATGCCTCCCAGAAGAGCAGATGGCATTTTCCTAAGATGCAGCAGACCTGCCTGGATAGGCCAATCCTTCCCCATTGCAGGGCCAGTAGACTCCAGATGTTCTGGATGCTGCTGGTCTTTGCCCTGGGGTCACCCACCAGCAGATCCCCAATCAAGGAAAAGGGCTGAGACCTGAAGACTGAAGAGGGATGGCCTAGGACAAGCCTTGGGTGGTCTCAGGTGCAAGTCCTCCAAACGGGCCTCTCCTGACTCTGGTTTTCCTGGGGTTTTGGGCCCCAGCAGTGTACCGCTGGCGCCTCAACACTTCTCCCACCCCAGGCCTATCAGGGATATCTAAGGAGACTTAGATCCATTGGTCTGTGCCAGGGGCCCTGCAGTCGCTGAAATGTGGCTGTGCCCACTTGGGCCCAGCAGTGTTGTCTGTAAGTGCAGAGGTGACAGGTGCCCATTTTCTCCTTTTTGTATGTGTGAGTTACCTCGGATCCTTCAGTGGAGGCGCAGTGCAGGATATAGAGAATTTTTAGATTATCTGTTAATTGGAGCCAAGTGTCCCTGTTCGGTGCAACCAAACAAACTGGATTTTAGATCATTGAACAAGTTCCAAATTCAATTTGTGGATGAGTTCTTTCAAAAAATGCTTTGGACCTGAGGTGTGAGTAATGTGCTATCAGTTCTATGGCCTCCATATCCCAGGGCCTCACAGACTGGGGGCACTGAGGACTCAGCTGAGAGTTGTGAGCAGCCAGGGGGGTGCTGCAGGGCCAGGAAGTCCATAGCACCCCGTCATCCTATCATTGGCCCCTCCTGATAGGTGACTGACTGCAGCTATAGACAATTAGGGAGACCAGTCTGGTTCTCAGGGCCAGTAATGGACAGGAGCAGTAGGACAGTAGCAGTAGCATAGAGAGACCAATACGATTTGCACTAGAAATGCAAATACTTTGCCCAGATGAGAGTGTTCCCATTCCCACAAGGTTGGACTCCCATAGGAACCTGGAAGCACTATGTGCTGTGAGACAGAAGGCACACCAACCAACCACGGGCACAGAGGTTTAATCAGTTTCTCACAGGAGGCAGGAAGCACGCATGGAGGGGGTGGGGTCAGCACAGCAGGTCAGGGAGCACAGCCTCAACACCAAGCCATGGCACACGCAGCAGGTGACTGTGGTCCACAGAAGACCCCAGTGGTTCTTGTAAAGCCCTTCCCAGCAGGTCTAGGGTACAGAATAGCCTTCCCAGAGCCCAGCTCCAACATGCAGGGTGATGGAGCCTCTCTGAAGGAGTGATCCAACAATTCACAGTGATGGTGACAGGCAGGGCATCAGATTCTGCCCTGAATGCGAGCAGAAGTGGACCCTCTGAGCCACAACCTGTTCTGCAAACCAGGCTGCTATACTGGAGGAATCGGGAAGAATGGAGCCTGGCCTTGGTGTGCGTGTCAGGAACTGCACCTAGGCACTGCCTGAAGCAGGACAGACCGCTCTCTTCTGGGTACAGTGGCTGAGCCACCTCCAGCCAGCCTCCCCTAGATACAAACTAACCAAGTGTTTAATGAGAGAAGGCTGCACATAGTTCCATTTCCTTGTGATATTTTCCTTTGAAAAAATAAAAACTAACCCTGTATCAGCTAGACGTGTCCTGACTGAGGCCTCTATGGAGGTCCCCCAGGCTACTCCCAGCGAGTCCCAAGCACCCACATGGCACCAGGATGGCTATGAAAGGCAGTGTGCACCTTGTCTTTGGACCATGTGCCAGGTGCACAGCCCAGGATAGGGGACAGAGAATGGGCTGTTGTAAAGGTGATGCCTGGAGAAGCTGCTTCTAGTGGCCTGGGTGCTATGAAAAAAATAGGTCCCCAGCCTTCACCACAACTACCTGCTCAGACCCCAGAATCAAGAGACTCAAAACAAAAGACCTCTACTCACAACAGTACTTGTACAAGGTTTCTGGGACTCAAAGGCAGCCCACCTTCTGTGGGGCTGACTGCAGCATCCATACTTCAAGCTCTACTTTCTTAGGAGAAACCAGGAGGGTATCACAGGTTCTTCAGCACCTCCTTTCTTTGCCCAACCCTCAAAACCACCCCTTAGCCCCTCTAGGGAACACAGCATGGAGAAAAGCAGGGACCTCTGACTGCTGGCAAAGTGCTTAAATGTTGGCATGATGTGCAAACTCAGCCCAACAAAAGCCCTCGGCCCCACCTTGAGGGGCACCTAGTCCTTAGGGATGTTGGGGGGTGGGATTTGCAGATCAGAGGGCTCCACACCCCAGATGTCCCTCGCATACTCAGTGATGGTTCGGTCACTAGAAAACTTGCCCGAGCAAGCGATGTTCCTGATGACCTTTTTGGTCCACTCCTTGGGGTTCTGCAGAAAAAGTAGAGGCTGATCAGTCTTGGGCGCCCAGCAACTTCAGAACTATCCCCAATGAGCTCTGAACCCTGGAACAGGGTGGAAGGAGGGGAACAACCATGTGATGAGAAAAGTGGTTCCATGGACCAGGGCCTCTTGGGACTAGAAAAGCTACTGAAGGATAGGTATAAGGCCAAAGAGCCAGGAAGGTCCTTGCCCCTGAAAGCCTGTATTTCACAGGCACAGTGCACAACCCCAAGACAAACAACTAGAAAAGCAGCACAGGTAGACCCAGCATCTGTGGGGTGGCCGTCTTCACCAGGGCTTCAATCTCTCACTGCTTTCCTCCAGGGCCGTGCAGCTGCCCTGGCCTCCAGCAAGCTCCAGGAGGGAGCAAAGCCCTTTTGAGTGGGGGTGGGGGTGGGGAGGGTCCTGCCAGAGCCCCACAGTGCAAGAACAAAGAGTGACTAGGCCCACCAGTGACTTACTAATGCCAAGGGTACTGGAATTCCAAGCCTCTGTGGCTCTAATGAGAACACTGCTTCCCCAGCCCCATTGGCCTATTCCTATAGCCACAGCCTGCGAGCCTCACCTGGTACAGCTGCTCCACCCGCGCCTGGCATTGCACATAGGCTTCATAGTCTGCGAACACCTTGAACCTGAACAGGGACAGGACATTGAGCAGATGGCAGGTGACAGTAGCCCTGCCCAGGTAGCCTGTCATGTGGTCCCAGGGACAGTCCCACAGCCAGAGATCACCACCTGCCAGGCCTTGCCCCTCATGAGGCCAGGTCCATCCAGCCTAGGGCTTCTGTGTAGTGACACTCATGTCCTAATGAAGTCACATTCTGACCTGGGGTGCCTCTAAGGAACTGGCAGTGCAGAACCTACAGGCTGTGGGGCTGCACAGGCCCAGGACCCAGGCACTCTGTTGGAAGCCTTCATATATCCACCTGTTCTCAAATCAGAACCAGTGATACAGGAAAAGCTTATTTGCAGTTTCTGATGTTCTGGACAAAAATGTAGGAGTTAGAAGTATAGGAATGTATTTCTGTCATTATTGTACCAGATGTGCAAGTTCACAAGTCCCCACCACAGACCCTGGCAGGGGACAACCTGGCCCGACTGTAGGCACAGGTGACCCAAAGGCAGAGGTAACCAGAAGGCAGCAGCAGGAGGGAGGTGAACTGAGCCCTGGTCAAAGCAGCTTTAGCCACAGGGAGACATGGTGTGCCCAGTCTGTCATGTGGCCAGAGATTGACTATACCATGTCAGCTGTTAATTCCACTTTAACCCAGTGAGTCTCCACTACCTGGCCAGCTCCTACTGCCCTGCCTGCCTCCTGAGCTCCTTCTTCTGGCCTCCTGAGAACATGGCTGCCTCAGGGTCTCCCACCCACATGGGAGTCTCCAAGGCCAAGTGCTGGACAGCACACTGACCTGTCTCACTCTGCATGGTCTAGTCCTTGCCATGACAGTGACTCTGCTGGCCCATCACAAGGTCTTGTGGGCCGAGGTGGAAGGGCTTCACCTCACGTGAACTGGTCTTTTCCACAGTAGGGGTGGATACGGTGGGTTGCAGGGAAGGGCCCCACCTGTCATGGTACATCAGCATGTTGACCACGTCCTTGAAGCACTCTGGGTCCTTGGGGGAAAAGAAGCCGCTGCTGATCTGGTCCATGGCCTGCCTTAGCTCAGGCAGGCGCTCGTAGTACTCTCTGGCATTATACCTGTGGGGAGGTGGGCTGCTCAGTGCCTATACCCCAGCAGTGACCCACTGCCAGGGGGAGCTGCCCTCAGGCGGGACCCTGAGACTGTCACAGAAACCCGAGTGGTGGCTGGGAGGCATCTGCTTTGTGCTTTTGGAGGTTGTGCCACTTGCCCACCTTGGCCCCTCCCCATGTGCCCTGATGCAGAGGGGACACACACCCTTTTCGGTCCAGGGCCTCGACCTCCTCTACCCGCAGACCGAAGATGAAGAGGTTCTCCGTGCCTGCCTCCTCAGCCATCTCCACATTGGCACCATCCATGGTGCCAATGGTGAGTGCCCCGTTGAGCATGAACTTCATGTTGCCAGTGCCTGAGGCCTCGGTGCCTGCAGTGGAGATCTGCTGTGACAGGTCGGCAGCTGGGATCACTGCGGGCAGGAGACAGGTTAGCCTGGCCTCACCGTCTCCATCCACTGCATTCCCTCTCCCAGATCCTTGGCGAGTGATCCTAGGCAGCCAGCCCTTTGTCCCTAGTGGCTTCTGCCTTTGTAGGGCTCCCCTCTTTGGCGGGGCTGACTGAGGTAAGGGGTCCAAGATACTGACCTGAAAAAGTGCCAAGTGTCCCAGCGTTTTCTAGGAACCTTCCCCAACCCCATGGACAATGCTGGCCCCATGCACAGCATTGCTTACCGTAGCAGGAGAGGCATAGGCCTCCAGCCTACCTTTCTCGGCCAGGGACACGCGGTAGTTCTCTAGAAAGATCACTCGAAGTTTGTCACCCACAACTGGATCATGATTGACAACACTGCCGATAGACGTGATCAGCTTGATGATCATCTTGGCCATGTGGTAGCCAGGAGCTGCCTGCAGAGAGAGGCAGGCGACGGCTTTCATGTGCAATGCTCTGCCCAGGGCCAACAGGGCTGTGTGGGTTGCTGAGACACAAGGGCAGACACCAGGCCAGACACAGACTCTGGAAGCCAGCGGTAGTGTGGCTCATGGGCGGGAGAACATGGCTGCCACCCAGTGCTCAATGGCTGTCTCACCCATGGGATCTGTCAGCCTCCAAAGACACTCTGATTCCCATTGGTATTTCAGAAATCACCAGGTAAGAGAACATCAACTTACAGGAAATACAAATCCTAAGGAATTCGCTATAACACACCAGGGGATGTCCTTAGGAAAACAGCCTGGGACAGCAAATGAACCAATTTCTACAACAAATATATTGAAAAAAAAGGGGGGGGAGGAGGTTTATGATTAAAATTAAAAGACACAGATCAGTTCAAGGAGGGCCCTCATCTCCCCGATTAAAAATATTAGTGAGAGGGCCGGGCATGGTGGTGCATGCCTAATAATCACAGCACTCAGGAGGCTGTGGCAGGAGAACTGAAAGTTCAAGGCCATCCTGGAGTACAGAGTGAAACCTTGTCTCAAAAAAACAAAACCAAAACAACCAAAAAAACAGTGGGGCTGAGGGTTTGGCAAGTAGCAGAGCACTTGCCTGGAGTGTGAGGCCCTCAGTTCATCCCCAGCACTGGAAGCAAGAAAATGTTAACAGCCAGGTGCTGTGGCACAGGCCACTAGTCCCACTGGGGCAGATGAGGTGGAAGGATCCCTAGGACTCCTGAGCCCAGAATTTCTTTTCTTTTTTTTTTGGTACTTGGGATCAAACTCAGGTCCCTGTGCTTGTGAGGCAGGTGGAGGAACCACTGAACCAAATTACTGGCCCTTGAGCCCAGAATTTTGAAGCCATCCTGGGCAACACAGGGAGGCCTCGTCTAAACGAAAAAAACCCACTAGTACATGTAGCTTCTGTGACAGTGGGAATGTGGTCCTGGAGAGTAGATGGCCACTCCTGACAGGATGCATTTTAGGTGTATGGATGCATGACCATGTGGTAATGTTTAAGAGCCCAACGGCTTTAGTTCTGGAGGGATCATTACTGATGGAGGCAGAGACAGCCTGGAACCCACTTTCCCATCGTTTGGTAGTCTGGGTAAGCTATCTATTTCTACAGCTCTTCCTGTTTCTCTTGACTTATATTTGTCCTTAATATTTTAAAAAATTTTGTATGGACTTTAGAACCAAGATACAAACAAAATTATGCTAATGTCCAAAATGTGCTTAAAATGTAGCTGATGGTGGGCAGAGGCTAGATGGTGTGGTAAGTGGGCTGGAGCTGAGGACGGCTGCGAGTGACATACAAGAGAGCAGTGACGAGCCTTTCAGAGCTTTTGGTGATACAGACTGCCCTCTGCAGATGTGTGCCCTAGGCCCACCACCACTGCACTAAGCAATCTGCATAGGACCTGAGGCCATTCCCTCAAAGAGCCGCATCCAGCCTTCATGTGCTGACCAAGGCCAGGCCATGGGCTGAGCAGGACACACTTGGCACCCTCCTGTCGAGGCAAGTCCACACAGGACCCTGGCTTCCAAGCAGGCAGCCACCCACTGAGTGCACCCTGGGCTCAGTACCAAAAGGAGGAGCTAAGGAAGTCACCTCACCTTGCCCCCAATCATCACAGTCCGGGGTACAAAGGCCTTAGCTGGGTCTTTCTTTATTCCTGCAGGCAAAACAAGAGATTCACATGAGACAGTGGGGTGACCCTAAGCTAAAGCAACCAGGGACCCAGAGCAGCCCTGGGGCTCTGGCAGGTGGCAGCAGCACACAGCCATGGTCCCATACCTGCCTAGGAACCTGCCACCTGGGGGCCAAGCCTGGCCCTCACTGTGCTTCTGTTCCACAGCATCCTGCCTGGCATCTGGAGTAGTTACACTACCGCCAAAGGCTTGGGGAGGCCAAACCAGAGTCCCCAAGAGGCCTGGCCCAGGTCATCTGTCCTGGCCACCATTACTGAGGCCCAAGTATGTGACAAGGACCCATGTTTTTAAAAACATCCTTTGAACACCCTAGTTTGAGATGCAGAGAGAAAGCTGAGACCTTGAGGCCTTGGCACCATGGGTGTGACCTCATCAGCCTTGGGGGTCTGAGACCCTGGTTGTTCCCCCCCACCCAGGGGACATGGTGTGTGCCGGCCTAGAAATGTTTCCCAAAACCCTGTGCCCTTGGTGCCTGTGGTGTTCCTGGGAGATGGTGACACTTGGGCAGTGGGACTCAGAGGAGCAAGGAAGGTCACTGGCATATGACCTTGGAGGGGACATTAGAACCCCAGGCTCCGTCACTGTTTCCTGGCCAAGAGGAAGTGGAAAGGCCTCTTCTCCATGCATTCATGCCACTGGGATGTACAACATGGGCCCAAGCCCTCTTCCACAGAGAGCTGCCTACACAGGCCACTCACATCAGCCCAGGGCCTTGGTCCTCAGGCTTCCACTGAGCTGAGAGTGTCTGAACTAGGGATAATGGGGGTGAAACTCAAAAGCGATGCCAGCCAGCTAGAAAGCCAGGGTGAGCCCCAATTCTAAAAACCAAACAATACCACAGAGAAAAGGACAAAATAAAAACAAATGAGTTGAGTATAGGGGTGCATGCCTATAATCCTAGCTATCTGGGAGACTGAGGAAGGACCGCTTGAGCTCAGGAGTTCAAGACCAGACTGGGCCACACAGAGACCCTTTTTTAAAAAACAAAAAGGGCCAGGGATTTAGCTCAGTGGTCCTGCTCCCTGTCTTACAAATGCAAGGTCCCGAGTTCAATCCCCGGTACCAAAAAAAAAAAAAATTAAATAAAACAACTATATAAAAAACAAAACAAAACCAAAAACCCCACACACAAAATGTTCACCAAATCAAGGAAACAGGAAAATATGGGAATTCTAGGTCACATAATAACTCCTGCTAGGTCACCGGCAGGTAGGGGACAGGGTCTCAGGGTCCTGGTGTCCCAAGGGGGTACCCTGGAATAGGGCTCCAGTCCTGGGCAATGAGGAAGTCTCAGGATATGGCTGGGCATGGCAGGGTGAGTACTGCTAACCAGGGGCCAGGGAAGCAAGGGCTGGGGGGCCTTGGGAAGCCTGGGCAGGGGAGAGGCACTAAGAAGGCATGGCTGTCGGGCAGATCCGACCTCCAGGGAAAGCTCACACCATGGAGGACCACACAGACCACAGGCCTGAAATGCAGGACATCGGGGTAAGGAGGAGACACAGAGATCTGAAGAGGCTCTGCCAAAGCATGTGCAGAAAGTAGGCAGAAGAAACAAGGCAGAAGGGCCCGGCACATGTCCCAAACGCGTTTCAGGGCTGGGTGCAGCTCAGCCCCAGCACCTGCCTGGCACACTCTGAGGCCCTGGGTACCAGGATAAAATGTGTGGTTCAAAAAAACACTTTTTGAGGTAATACAGTAGTAGGTAGTCAAGTGGCTGTAGTCAACACCAAGACACAACTGTAAGAATAAGCCACTAATACATCCAGAAATGACCAAGGCAGCTCCAGCCCTCAGGACAGAGGCACAGGGACCCAGAGGTGCTGGAGGGAAGAGGGAAAGCCATGGCTGGCACCATCAGCCAGGGCTGTTATTCCTGAAGCGTTTCTGCAGTGCCTCCACCTTGCAATACTTTATCACAAAATGCTAGAAACCTAGTTCTTTCCAAAGGTTTTGCAAATTCACCAAGCAAATGTTCACATTTACTTTTTCTTTTTTTTCTTTTTTTTTCTTTTTTTAGACATGGTTTCGCTATGTAGTCCAGCCTGGCCTTGAACTCACTATTTAGTGCAGGTTGGTCTTGACCTCACAATGATCCTCCTGCCTCAGCCTCCAGAGGGCAGGGATTACATGTGTGCCACCGTGCATGGTTCTCACATTTACTTATAGGGTTTCTTTGATTCACATTTGCTTTCATAATTGTCCACTAGCAACTTAAGGTACATTATAAACTCAACATACGTGATTCTAAGTACATTAAATGCTTCCATAAATCTTCCCAAACAAGGCAAATCACCAGATCATCATAAAAACTGCACTGGATACAAAAACCAGCCTTGTAGTCCTGTGCTTTCACACCAACACTACAGCAAGCATGCACGCACACGGCCTCACTGTGAGAGGCCAGGTCTGGGTGTGACTCACGGTTGTAGAGGGTGATGATGTGCAGACAGTTGAGCAGCTGCCGCTTGTACTCGTGGATGCGCTTCACATGCACGTCAAACATGGAGGAGGGGTTGATCTTCACCTTGTACTCCTTCTCCAGGAGGGCAGCAAACTTCAGCTTATTTTCCTAGGAGAAGCAGGGATGACAGCAGTGCTGTTCTTTGCTGTCCTGGGGTCTGAGGTCCCTGGATGCCCCATGGCCCATCCCGCCCTGGAGACAATCAGCCCTCAGCAACCACCAGGGATAGACAGCAGGTCCGGGACCAGAGCTGGCATCAGGGAGAAGGGGACAAGGGCGCGCTCGACAACGGTGGCAGAAGTTAAGGACCTGGAGCCAAACAGGAGGAGAACAAGGGGGACTGGGGTGCAAGGCAGGGACAGCAGGAGGAGGAGCTTGAGGAGGCACAGGAAGGGAGAAGCAAAGCAAACCTAGAACCGAGAGAGCAAGCTGCAGTGAGGAGGCACTGCTGCTGTCCCAGAGCTAAGACCATGGCCCTGTTATGTGACCCCCTAGCTCTGTCCCAGATCTAGGGGCTCCAGGGGCCTGTCCCTGGCTTAGGCTCTTGGCTGCTCCCAGGACAGAGCTGGAATTATACAGCCCGCACACTTGCAGCCTGATGAAGAGCCCTGCACAGGTCAGTGATCCCTTCTGGAAAGCCGACAGCCTGATCCAGGACCCCAGGTCTTCCCATCCCCCACCCATCCCCCCAGTGCCATGCAGCCCACCTGCTTGACCTGGGCCACATCCCTGATGAAGGCCTCATCGCTGACCAGTGGTAGCAGCTTGCGTAGCTGGCTGAGGTCCGTGACGAAGCTCTCCCCAATTCTCTGGGGGAGGAAGGTGACTCTGCTCACTCACTGCAGCCCAGTTTCTACATGCAACCAGGCTTCTGCCCTGCCTGGGACCTGCCCACAGGGCCGCTCCTGCGCAGCTCAGACAGACCCCTGCAGCTCCCTCAGTCCCTGCTCCCTGGTCCCAGACTGACCCCCTCTGGAATTTCCCACTGCCTAGTTCACGTCCCTAAGCCAGTGTCTTCTTGGGGGTCCCCCTACTGTAGCCTCCCTCCCTCAGTTCCATCCTTCAGGATTCACCTGGCCCTCTGACCTGGGCTGGCCTGGCTATCCTGTGGCATTTCAGGGCCAACCCCGTTTTATGACCTCACCCAGCACGGCTAAGTCCCTCTTCATCAGCCTGGAGGGCTCTAAGCTGCATCCTGGGTCACTGATGGTCACATGAAGACCTGGCTTCCTTGTCCCAGGACCCAGGCTGAGCCACTCACCTCCACAAGGACCTCTGCAAGCCCTGGGTTGCACAGCAACAGCCACCGACGAGGGGTGATGCCGTTGGTCTTGTTCTGGAACTTCTCTGGTTCCAGCTCATAGAAATCCTTGAAGCTACAAACACAGAGTATGGAACTGTCAGAAACACTTTTTCCAGCCAGGTGAGCCAGAGAACACAAGGCCTTTCCAAAAAATCCCTGGGGGTGGGGACGCTCAGTGGGCAAAGCAAGTTGTACACTGCACACTTGGGCTGCCCCCACGTGAGGATGCAGCTGTCTCCAGAGGTCGATGGGCACACACCCAGGCCACAGCCCTGAACACTTCACAGGCTTCAGACCTGAGCCCTGGGTTGTTTTCTCAGCTGTGCTTTGGGGAAAAGTCCAACCCCAACTCTGCCACGGGGACTTTAGAGCCCTGGGCCCAGCCTGGAGCACAGATGTCAGCAGGGACCAATGGGGTTAAGGCCATCAGCAGTCTTGCTAGATGAAAGGAAAAGGGAAGGGAGGAATCTCTGGTCTCCATCCAGTGTGATCACCACCTACCCAGCCCCTGCCCACCCAGCCCTGGCCCTAGATAGCTGCCTGGGGCACCCAGCCAGCAGGTGGACCAGGGTCATGAGGCCCACTGGAAGTGCCAGCAGGCCTCCAAAAAGGCCAGGGGTGACTGCCTCTCCTGTCACTACCCACTCAGGCAGGAACATGGGGCGGGCCTCCTATGGCAGCCAGGTGGAAGGGGTGGCAGTGGGTGCCTCACGCACACAGACTGCTTCACGATCTCAGAGTGGATGCGTGCCACGCCATTCACTGCATGCGACCCGATCACACACAGGTGGGCCATGTTGATCCTCTTGCAGTCACCCTCCTCGATCACAGACATCCTCCTCAGGCGGTCCACATCCCCAGGAAACAGGGCAGCCACATGCTAGAGAGGAGAGAGGGAGCAGTGTGGGGCTGATACAGTGCCCGGAGCTCGCACGACCAGAACAGCTGCCATACGCTCTAGGTCTTGACCATGGGCCCTGGCCCCACCCCAGCACTGGGACTCAGCAGGCAGGGATGAACCATCTGGTTACACAGAGGATGTGGGCCTCCCCATCCTGAACTCAGTGGGACAGCTGTGCCCAGGGCCCCACGCATGTGTGCACGCATGCACACATACCACAGAGGCATAAGAGTCACCCAGGACCTGAGCCCCGTAGATAATGGAGGAAGGACAGGTGGAGCTGCCAGGTCAGTCTCAAGTACTATAGCCCACTCCGGAATGAGAGCAGGGCCAGGCAGCACTGTCAGCTGCTGTGCTGTCACCTGGTAGGACCCACGCCCACCCTGCCAGGCCAGCAGCACTCACATCCAGGTGCCTCTGGTTTATGGCATAGATGATGTCTAAGTGCCGTGGCAGCAGCTTCTCAAACAGGGACACTGGCCAGCGCTCCAAGGCCTCAGGCAGCACTGTGTGGTTAGTGTATGCGCAGGTCTTCTTGGTGATCTCCCAGGCCTGGTGGTTGGAGAGAAGTGTGTTTACATGGTTACATTCAGTCCTACACAGAGCCCCTTCCTGCCCATGTGACCCGATGCATGAGCGCCCACACCTGTGTGAATGATGCCAACATGCACCCCAGGATCACCTGCCCTTGTTTTCCTCCTTGTGAACAGTTTTTACTGACAAATTAACAGACCACTGAGCAGTCATCCATTGGCCAGGGCCAAAGGACTCTATGACAGGGCCACACACATCCCAAGACCAGAGAGGAACTCTGGTCTCCATAAGGTAGAGTAAGAAATCGCTTTACAGCTGGGCTGGGTGGTATATACCTGTGAATCCAGCTATTTAGGAGGCTGAGGCAGGAGGATCACAAGTTTGAGCCCAGCCCATGCAACTCAGCAGGACCTTGTCACATAATTTAAAAATATCTATGTATGGCAGGGATGCAATGCAAAGTCCTAGGTCCAATCTCTAGTACAAGGGGAAAATGCTTCATGGTTTTATAGCCTGAAAAAGTCTTAATACACTCAAGAGTCTAGTAGCAAAGTAAATTGAGCCATAAGAAAAGTCTATAAAAACTACACATTTCTTTAAACTTAACATTTTGGATTTCTTCACTAAACTTCAAGATGACAAAACATACATAAGAAGCCCTAAAAAGTACGAGAATCTTGTCCCTGTCCCTTCTCACCCCTGCATTCTTGTCCCCTCTGTGTCACCGTCCCACAGAATGTCTGTCCATCCCCTGGTACCATCCCAAGGCCCGGCACTCTCAGGGCTGATGTCCTCAGATCTCCTGAGGGAAGAGGAGCCGCCTTCCCAGAACTTTTGAGCCATTCGATGGCTGGCTTGGACTGCACAGAGGGCAGGCCCCAATCTTGGTCCCTGAAAGGCACCATCACCCCATCCCGGTCCAGGCAGGCCACTGCCTCTCCTCTGCCTCCTGCTCACCTTGTCCCAATCCACCTTCTCCACGTCCACCAGGATCCGCATAAGCTCGGGGATGGAAAGGGCTGGGTGGGTGTCATTCAGCTGGATGGCCACCTGCAAGTCACACAGGACCCTCAGTGGCCTCATCCTTTGTGGGCACCCAGGGGCTGGGTGTGCGCAGCACCAGGTGTGAAGGAGCCGGGCAGCCTGTTCTGAGGAGCCTGAGGCCCTACAGGACTCCAGGAGGGAATTAGGAGGACCCCTGTGGCCAGCTGGGCCCTGGGCAGGTGTGCAAGGAGCTACTGGGCTGGGCTGCCTCACAGGAATGTTCCCTCACTTATGATGTGGCAGTTTTGTTTGAATGGAGTGCACTGGGCTTCACCTTGGGAGCCACCAGTCCGTCCTACCTAGATGATGCCCGTGGCCCTCAGCTTGAAGGGGGGCCTCAACAAGATGGACCCTGAGGCAAGGTGTCCCTGCCACCCCTTGCCAGGTCCTCCAGGACACAGGAAGCACCTGAGGGCAGCCCACCCCCTCGGGCCACATACCTTGTCCGGGAAAGTCTCAAAACTGGTCCTCACAGGGTCACGGCAGCCAAACTTAGAGGACTTGAAGCGGCGGATGATGTCCTGCAGTGTGGCAGCCACCACGAAGTACTCCTGCTTCAGCCGCAGCTCCTTGCCCTCAAAGAACTGCAGACACAGGGCTACTGAGCATGAGCTCGGGGATGGAGAGGCTGGGTGGGTGTTGTTTGGTGCAGAGCAAAGGGGTCCTGCACAGCCCACCTGCCCTGATTCTGGTCCTTTGCATCCCCACAGGAGGCCTGGATGAGGTGTCACTCGGGGTCACAGGCCGAGGTTACAAGCGGTCTTACCCCGCTGCCCAACACTACCAGCACCCAGTGTCATCTTCTGACAGAAGAGCAAAGACAAAGTGCCCCTTGCCTGTGTGACGAACAGCAGAGCATGTGGTGCCTGGTCCCTCAGTAGCCAGGACACCAGGGCCATGTGGAGATGCGACATCTGAGCACAGTGTCCTTTGCACCCACAGGCCAGAATGCCTGGAGCCCGAGCCAGCAGCACCAGTGCCTCTGCTGCCCATATAGATCGTGGTGACAGAGTGGAACGAGCACTTCCCAAAACAGAGCCACCAGGACAGACAAGCTCCAAGGACTCTGCTTGCTCTTCTGGTGCTAGGTATGGAACCCAGAGCCCTGTATGTATGAGCATGCACTTGGGCTACGCCCACCATGGCCCTCTGTAAGGCAACAAGAAGCCACCAGACATCAAGTCCACTATGCACAAGTGGCAGCAGAATCCAGCTGTGGCCACTGCCGAGCACATGGCAGGTCTCAGCAGACCTCCCAGGTGTCACAAGGTACTGTGTCCTTCAGGACAGATGGAGTGACCCGGCCTGGCCCAAGGCCTGGAGCTCTACCTATACCTCTTCCTCGAAGAATGAGGGGTCAAGGGAGATAGGGTGAGGAGGATCAGAGGGGGAAATGTCCCGTCTCTCAGAGTGGCCAACCGGCCTGCACTCAGACAGGAGGACCTAAGTCACACCTGGCCTCTCCTCCAGCCATGTAAGGTTGGCCCAGCCTCCATCCTCCAATCCTCCCCAGGAATGGGCCAGCTGGCTGACGTGGTCCGTCCCAGGAGCTACTCACGTTGTCATTGGGGTACAGCACCCTGGAGATGTTCTCCGCCAGGTTCCGGTCCAGGACGGCTTGGACATAGTCCCCGACATTGACTGTGGAGAGACGGGGAGGGGAAGGCAGTGACCCCTCCAGGTCCCCAGAGCTTTGGCTGAGGCAAAGCAGCAGAGCCCCCGTCCCACCCCACAGCCCCCTTTCTCTTTCCTTGGGACCTGGTGGTCACAGTGCCACACTCATGCCCCTCCTGCTCACTCTCAGAGACCCCAGGGGCTGCTCTGCTCTCTGCAGAGAGTGGCAGGCCGGGAGTGCTGGGTGCAAGGCTTGGGGGCAGCTACCAGACAGGAGTGGGTGTGGCCGAACGTACAGTCCTGCAGTTTGAAGTCGCTGGGTGCCTTGGCGGACCAGAGCCTCATGGTGTTGACCGTGTTATTCTTGTAGCCAGGCACTGGGGTGTCATAGGGCATGGCCAGCACCACCTGGTAATAGGGACACACGTGGTGCAGTCAGTAGGTGCCTCTTCACTCACCCTACCCGGCTACTCGCCCACACCAGGTACCACATAAGTGAGAGGCATAGGCAGCCCTGCAGCAGCCCCGGCATCCCGCCATCCTGTCCTCCTGCCCTCCCTACCACTGGCTGAGAGGTGAGCTCTATGTAGGACCCAGCCTTCTACACCGGCCAAGGGCCTCAGCTCTGACACCATGGGCAACAGCACCAATACCACCACTGTGACACTTACCTTCCTGTCTCCTGTCTAGCCTTCACTTGCTCCATGAGCTCATCCACAGGGGGACAGTCCTCCCTTCCAGTCCCCTGGACCCTGACCCTCATCTTCAGACACACATGGGAACACAGGGTCCATACTCTGCTGCTCAGATCGAAGATAGCTCAAGCTTAGCCTCTATGCTGAGTGCTGCGAGCCAGGGACCACTGAGTCAGCACTGTGGTGTCACAGCAGAAGACACCTGGTGCAGCCACAGCCCCCGTGGGCTCCCCATGGCGTGCCACTGGTTGTGTGTGGTGGCTTCTGTGCTGGGGACATCTGCCAAGGTGCACCAACTAAGCATGTGAGGAAAGTAAACTCAGGCCCTGGGCTCCATACCTGTGTGTCCAGCCACCGCACACCCTCGGCCGTGTGCTCCACACGCCCATAGAAATGCACAGGCAGCATGTACTCAGGCCGGGCCTTCTCCCAGGGGTTGCCATAGCGCAGCCAGTCATCTGCCTCTTCCATCTGGGGCAGAGAGAGGGGCTGAGATCAAACAGCAACCAGCACCAGACAGAAAGAACCCAGCCTGCTTATCAGGCTTCCTACACCAGCCAAGCTAATTTGCTAGAAAATGAGCATTCTGGGTCCAGGTCTCCAGGAGACTGAGGCAGGAGGTTTGCAAGGTCCAGTCTAACCTGGACAGTTTAGGGACTTAGCAAGGTTGTGTCTCAAAATTAAAAAAGCTGGGGTCATAGCTCACTGTGAAGGCCCTGTGTTTAATCCTCAGTACTTAGGGGGGAAAAAAAAAAGCCATGAATGCTGGGCCTGGTGCTCACAGGATCCAGGACAGTGCTGAGCACACTGCTCCCCACCAGGCCCTGCCCCCACAGCTGACTGCCAGAGAACAGCGCCCATAGCACCAGATCAGTAGAAATATGCATATCCACACCCACCAATTTCGCCATAGATATTACACATGGTGAGACATGAGCCAGACACATCCCGCCATCAAGCCCAATAACTGCACAGTTACCAGACCCAAAGCCCTCCATCAAGTCTCTTCTCACCAGACCAGCTGCAGCACATGACACGTAGGGACCCAATGTTATCACAAACCTTTCACCACCAAGTGGAACAGGAGTGACTTCCACACTCAAATGCCATGTCTGCAGTAGCCCAGAGCAGTGAGACTGGCATAGACTATGTGCGCGGTCCCTGCCATGCCAACACCAGGCCCTCCTTGCCATATAGTCCTGACCACATGGGCACCCAGGCCTCCACCTCACATTGTTTTCATATCTCATCTGGCCTCGGTTTGACGCTCTGACATGGTGGCTGACACCCGTCAACATCATGTTCCTTGGGAGTCCAGCCTCTGGCCATACTGGAAGCTGCTCCCTCATGTTGGTGAGCAAAGGCCAAAGGTGGAGACCAAAGTACCACCACTGCCCCTCTAGCTACTCACCGGTCCCACGTTTGGCCTCCAGAGCACACCCTGCACCCAGTGTGACACCTAAGAAGCCAGCATGCACCTCAGGTGTCCTGTACCCATCTGGGGTCTTGGTGATGCTCCACTGGGCTTCTGTGTCCACCCCGCTACCACTTCTCATCACCCCTGGGACTCTGCCAAGGGCTCCCCCAGGACTGGCCTGGCCAACCCACATGGAGGAAGGCATCATTGGCTGCCTCCTGAGGATGGGCAAGAGCTGAAAACCCTGAGGAGACCCAGTGTCACCCACCTGCCAGCCATCGACGATCTTCTGGTTGAAAATCCCAAACTCGTAGCGGATCCCATAGCCATAAGCTGCCAGACCCAGGGTGGCCATTGAATCGAGGAAACAGGCTGAAAAATGTAACCACAGATCACAGACGATCAGCACAGCCAGGTCAGAGCCTGCTCAGTTCTTTGGAGGGGGTGCTGTGGTGTGCCCAGGATGCCGTAGGGCTAATAAGGGAACACTGGACCTTGGTGGACTCTAGGATCTAGGAGGCTGAGCTTCCCTCCACTTGGGAAACGGATCCACACAAGGACAGAGCAAGAGGCTGGTGACAGCCCAGCCCCACCAGGGACAAAGGAGGAGGTCTTGGGGGTGGTCACCTGGCCTTTTGGAGGAGGGTGTGAGGGATACGTGGGGGATGGGGCAGGTGGGAGTTTTTTTTTTTTTCGTTGTTTTTTGGTTTTTGGTACCGGGAATCAAACTTGGCACCTTATACTTGCGAAGCAGGTGGCAGAACCACTGAGCTAAGTTCCTATTCCAGGGGGCTTTCTTTATTTAGATCCATGTGTTTTTCGTTTTTTGTTTTGGTACTGGGGATCAAACTTGGGTCCTTGCTAGGCAGGCGGCAGCACCACTGAGCTAAATCCCCAGCCCAAGATCCATGTGTTTTAAGAGAACATATTGCATTTAGAATTCCTGAAGAATTTAAAACTGAAAACATAAACATCCCAAGTCCATACACAGCAACCCTCGATAGAGCCAGGATTCAAGCAAGGAGCGGACCACCCCTGTTGTCCCCACACGCAGACACAAACTCAAACCACAATGTCTGCCACATCCTTTCCCACACCCTCCACCCCAAGAGCCAGCAAGAAGGATTAAAGCAGAAAAACCGCTGGGCAGCTCTCTGACATGTGAGCTATCTCACAGGCCCAGGGCTCTGTGCTCACTTCGGGGAAGCCACAGCTGCACCCTGCACATGGGCCACATTCTCAGTCACCCTGTCCCTCAGTCCTGCACCCACGCTGCAGCTGTGGGACCCTGGAATGTGGTTGGCATCCCAGGCTCCTTCCCGGCACCAGTGTCCCCAACTCTGGGCAGCTCAGTCTCCATGGCAACTGTGAGACCGGAAGAACATATCTGCAACCCGTTCTGAGGGAGGCTCGCATCCCCGGAGTTGGGGCTTTTCAAGACCCTCACCAGCCAGGCGGCCCAGGCCTCCGTTCCCCAGGCCGGCGTCCTCTTCTATCTCCTCCAGCTCTTCCAAGTCCAGCCCCAGCTGCAGACACAAAGGCAACATCTTAACAACGCTGCCCCCAACCACAGGCTGAGAGATTTTAAATCTTGTGAACTTATAGTACTGTGTAAGAACCTACTTCTCCTAGCCTTGAAAATCCAGTGTTAAAACTTGATGTTAAATCCATGCACGGAAATGAAAGTTTTCAGGTATTCCAAAAGCTAATTCAGCAGTCAGAACTAGACATGGTTTATTAGCCAAATATATATGAATTGCCAGGTTGTCAACCAATTCATAGTAAGTAGATTGTAACATGTAGCCTCAATATGAAACCAACAGTTTGAAGTCTTGTTTTTGAGTTTTGAGACATAGTATTGCTATGTTGCCCAGGTTGGCCTTGATCTTCGAGGTTTAGCCAATCTTTCTGCCTCAGCTTCTCAAGTAAATGGGACAAAAGCACCAACACCAAAAGGTCTTAGAAATTCTCTAATTTCACAGTCAAATGATAGTTACATGACATTTTTTTAAAGCCAAAACCTAAAAGTACTTTTCCTGTGGTTAAACTAACTGAATTCACACACTCTTGTGAGATAAATATGGCATGTTAAAAATCAGAGAAAAAGCAGCAAAGCCACAACAACGTGACTGTCCTACAATCAGGCTGGAATACAAATCTAGCCTCTCAGACACAGTTACCTTAAATATTCCATGAACAAAACTTCGAGGCCCAAACTCTACAAGTTGCTCACATTATCTCGGCCAGCAGCTCTGAAACTTTCTGGGCTTAGAAGGCTCCAAAGAGCTTGTGTTTGTGTGGTTTTATTTATTACCAATTATCAAATTAGAAATAAAATGCAGAAAAATTTAAAAGTCTGTGTACATATATACATGTGTAAATTCATTTAAAAGTAACAGGAACTCACTACATGCTAATATAAATCAAAAGTTTAATGAAAAATAAGTACTTTTTATTAAATTTGTTTTAATTGGTCTCAAAATTCTTTGACAGATACTTGGTTGTTTCTATTAAAAAGTACTGATTTGAAAAACTACTAACTTAAAACCACCAGCCAGGCGTGGTGGCGCACACCTGTAATCCCAGCACTTGGGAGGCTGAGGCAGGAGGATTGCTGTTGAGTTCAAGACCAGACTGAGCTACATAGTGAGTTCCAGGTCAGTCTCACTACATGGTGAAACCTTGCCTCAAAAAACAAAAAAAACAAAAAACAAAAAACAAACAAACAAAAAAACACCAGACACACACAAAAAAAACAACACGCTACCCATCCAGTCCCTGACTGATGTACATCTGCACTCTTTCCACTGGGGTTCATGAATACACAGCTGTGAAGCCTGGCTCAGGTTTTCTGTAGCTCACACCTCCTCGGAGTGGAAGGTCACACGGTCATTCCAAGCCTGTAGCAGACACCCACACTGTGCACACTTCATGACTGCAGCCCTCAGTGGGCACGAGTGGCTCTGGTTACCACTGTGACCCCCGTGTCTCTAGTACTTAATGAGGGTGAGCATCTTTCCGTGTGCCACCTGAGCACTGTGTGTTTTGGGGAAAGGTCTGTTCAAGTCCTTTGTGGCTCAAGTAACCAGGATGCCAAGACAGTGGTGCTAGGGAGGCCAGCGACGGTGCGAGAGGTGACTTTCCCAGCTGCTCCTCGTGAGTGAGGAGCCAGTCCTCCTGGCAGGCAGTGGCTGGGCATCTGACCTGCAGATATGTGGCACCCAGCTTCCTCCTCACACAGCCCCCCATGTCCAGGGGGCCCAGCCAATGGAGGCCGAGACAGTGACAGCCCTTCCTCAGGAAAAACTCTCATCTGCAAGGGTAACCATCTAAACTGCGAGTAAAGTAACTTTTAAGAAAAAAATGTGCAGCCTGGCGTGGTGGTGCACGCCTGTAATCCCAGCACTTGGGAGGCTGAGGCAGGAGGATCGCTGAGAGTTCGAGACCAGCCTGGGCTACATAATGTGCTCCAGGTCAGTGCCAACTACACAGTGAGACCCTGTCTCAAAAAAAAGAAAAGAAAAAAATGTGCAAAGTTTAAAGGGTACACGCTCACCTGCACTTCCCTGGTCTCTGTAATTAACGCATTGTGTGATAAAATCATTAACAGATATTGTACACGGTTCCCAAATCCTTGTTATGTGTAAAAGAATGTTTAAAAAAAAAAGCACTTCCTTCGGCTGAGAAATCCACAAGATATGCATGTTCCTCACTCCCCACAGACACGGCCTGGCATTAGTATCCAGAGAATGGACTAACCACAGTCATGTCTGGTAACCTCGGTGTCACCTCATTTTGAGCATAAAATCCCATGCTGGGGAGTGCAGTCTTGGCCTTTTGTGGCACCAACTGAAATCCTGAGCTACAGAATTACTCTTGACTGAGCCTGAGGGAAACCCTGGAGGAGATGGGGTCCCTAAGGCCAAGTCACCTCATGGCCATGCTAGTCTTGTGTCGCGGAAGCCTCCCCAGTACCCTCCCAACCCAAACCACCATAGGAAGGCAGCGTGGGGCACAAGGCTTGAAGGAGGAGTCAGGGTCACCAGAACCTCTCTGCCAGGCCCAGAAAATGGGGCAAGGCAGGAGGAGAGGGCCCAGCTGGGAGGGACCAAGCACCTGGACCCCCGAGATAGGGACAGGGCAGCACTGCAACCCCCAGACCCAGTCCCCTGGAGCAGACAGAGGGAGGGGATGGCTCCACTACACAAAGAGAAATGGTGTGGTCTAAAACTGCTCTGGGGAGGGATGCTGGTCACTGGTCCCTCTCAGCACTCTCTGTGCCCAAGAAGGAAAAGCACCACCATGAGCTCCTCCCAACTACAGGACACACACCCACCACATGGGCGGCACATCCTGATGTCACCTGTGCGTCAAGAGGCCACTTGGAAGTTGCCACCAGGCCCGTACCTGATAGATGGCTTCATCACATGCGTTCTGGAGGCCCAGGTTCACCATGGTGTTCTGAAGCGTGCGGCCCATGTAGAACTCCAGGGAAAGGTAATAGATACGCTGCAAAGGAGAGAGAGACTCAGACTTCACCTTCACCCACAGGCAGAAGTGGACAGATGTGCAGCTCCATGGGACAGCCGCCCGCATGGCCCTCGCCCCCACCAGGCTCCGGGGAAGACATGGCAGCCTCATGGCTGGGATGCGGTGGGCGCAGGATGAGCACAGCCTGGCCTCACACTGGGACTATTTCCAAATTAACTGTGGGGTGTGGACTTGGAGGCTGACTCGGGAGGATGCTTGGACCCAAGAGTTTGAAGCCGGCTTGAAGCTCAGTTAGACTCAGACAGAGGGAAGCCCCAAGTGCCACTCCCAGGACACAAGAGAACCGTACGGTCCCCAAGCAGGGGACGGTGCTGGCCTGGATTGGTGGAAGAGCCAGCAGTGCCCCGCGGGATGCTTTATCCAGGGTGACTGCGCACAGCTCCCTGGGCCTGAGTGAGTGCTGAGAGCCCTCCCCATTCTCCTCCCAGCACCAAGAGCAGCTTTCCTAAAGCCCTCATCTCACAATGGATCTGCCCAGAAGGAACATTTTCTGAGGTGCTGTTAATCAGAAAACACTATGCTTGGGAGCAAGCCTGCAGCCTGTCAAGATGCCCAACATAAAATTAAAACAAGAAAAGGGCTAAGGATATACCCCTGCGCAGAGACCCTGAGCAGATGTTTCTCCTCTCAAAAATGCAAAGGGTTACCAGGTGTGGTAGCAAAGGCCTGTAGGCCTAGCACTCGTAGGCCCAGGACTGAGGCAGGAGGATAGGCTACATAGCGAGGCCCTATCTCAAAAACCAAAGAAAAATATGACAACACACAGCACAGCTAATCCTGAGGGAAGTGCAGATTAGAACTTCCTGAGCCCAAAGAATTTCTTCCACCCTAAGGGGTGGTGGCCCAGAGGATGGAGGCCAGGTCTGTGGCCTCAAAACCAGAACAGGGACAGAGCCACTGGGCTACAGCCACTCAGCACCTAACGAGGACAGAAGTGCACCAATAAACTTCTCCACAATGTCAAGGAATAATGCCAGGTTACAGAGGACCCAACAGAGCACACAGAAGCAGCAAGATGAGTAAACAGCGCTAGCACAGGACACTTAGGGTAGGATTGTGTGCGGAACGTCATAAACAGCTAGAGGAAGCCTGAATGTCACGCAGAAGGGACAACCGAGCAGACTCATTATGCAGTGCGCACACAGATTGAAACACCACATGGCAGAAACAAAATCAGGCAGGACTCAAGACTGAGGAAAAGGTACAGATGAGGAACAGGGGGGATCAAACTTGGGACCTTTCACTTGCGACGCAGGTGGTGGCACCACTGAGCTAAATCCCCACTCACACGGCATTTCTAACAGATTCATTAAGCAAACTCCACGATCATAGTAAGATTCCTGCAACCAGAGTTGGGTCTTCCACAGTGTCCAGAGCCTTCCTAAATAAATTTTGGGGGAAATCATTTCATAATTAAAGTATGACTATAGCTGTCTAAGGCCTAATGCCACCACCATGTCCGCAAGCAGGCTATGGCATGTGGAAACATTAACTCCATTTTGCCTCCAGTCACAAATTGAGGCCTCAATGGTCCCATGATACAGTGACACTTAAGGGCAACAGTATATCAGCTGAAGACATCCTGGTTCTTTAAGACCCAAGAACAATAGTAATAAAAAATAAAGGTTTCACTTGGGGGAAGGACAACTTACTATTCTGCTACTTGGCCCACCTACTATTGTAAGAATACTCTCCTTATGGCCCTCATCAACATGAGATTCTCATGACCTAAGATCCACACTGGCATAGGATTACCACCACCCCGAGTCACCTGGTACTCTTTCCAATTATTGTGTGTACCCAATAAACAGTGGCCAGCTCGGAGTGTGTCTTTGAGCACTGACCTCCCAGCCCTCATGTACTCTGAAATCACACAAGTCGCTAATTCTTTTTTTTTTTTTTTTTTTTAGCCCTCACTGTCCCCCTTTCTACGCAGTGGGAGGATTGATTGCCTTCCAATACGCAGCCTGTTTTTTCCTTTTTTGATCATCTGAGTACCTGGCTTCTAAATTACTCTCCCAGCTTAAGTCACCGAAATGCACTGTGGCCCACGAATGCCTATTTTTAAAGTTTCTATAGCCTGATCTTCCTCTAAAAGCTTCCAACTTCTACCTAGCACTGTGGAAAGGAAGGTGTAATGCCTGGTCTCCCAACAGTGTGGTCATCTCCACACGGATAGGTAGGGCTGGAAACCTTGGGATCTCACTTCCTCCTCAGTGGAAGGGAGATGTCGAGGCTTCTGCAGAACCACCAGGAAGCCCCTGTGGTGCTTGTAAGAGTGGAGAGTGGCAGCAGTGCATCCCGGGGTCCCTGACCCCCGCAAGGCCAACCCTGAGCAGGGTGTAGCCACAAGCCCTGCTCCAGCCACTGGCCCTGGAGCTGTCTGCAATGCGCTTTAATGTGAGAACATTCACAAGTCTTCAGTTGCATTGGTTTTATTTTCCTACTTTCCCTAAAATGGTTCATAGTGACACTATCCAACTGCAAGAGGCTTGCTTGCTAGAGGAGGCAACAACAGAATGCAGACTTGGACCCTACAGGTTGGGTCCAAGGCTACCACCCTGTCTGGCCAGGAGGGCAACCAGGGCTAGGGGCCACCTCCGAGGACAGCACAGCCCCTGGGTCCACACAGCCTGGGCTCCTGGGTGCCTCCCACTAGGGCACAGGCTGTCTTGGACTCTCTTCTCCAAGAACTGCATCACCTTCCCTGATATGGGAACAGTGGCAGGGTCCTGGGCCTCTCCGTGCTGCAGCTTGGTTACCAGGGACTGATGGAGTCCTTCCCACAAGGGCAAGGTGGCACACGATGGCCGTTTTCCTTTGCTCAGTGCTGCCTCTACAGGTCCCTGTGTTTGTGGAGGGTGGGGCAGCTTTATAAAACCACCACTGCCTTGGCAGGAGGACACAGGATCATCTACCCGTCCCAGTCCAGCCTTGGAGCTCACGCAAGCATTTGGATTGGAGTGAAGAGCCAGGGACTTGGCCTCCCTTGCGGCTTGTTCTCTACCAGGACAGTGGGTGTCTACCCACAGAGGGCGCCAGCACCCAGGAGGAGAGCACAGGCCCTGTGCCTGGTCCATCTTGAAATTAAACGCAAAGCAAAGCAACTATCAAAGATCATAGCACCCAGGGCAGGAGATAAATTTCTTTTGCATTCTTTACATTCTCACAACCCATTGCTTCCAGCCTTCTGCTGGCAACAGCCAAGTCTACTCCTTATCACTGGGAGGCCAGAGCCTGCCTAGATTAACTCTGTGGCCTGGGCCACACCCCCCATATTTATGATGAATGAGGTTCTGGTCAATGGTAAACAGAGCTACTTTCTTTGTAAACTATGTAGAAAGGCTGAGAAAAACCACTCTGCTGTACCCCAAATTGCAACTCACCAAGATCCTGGGTCTAACTGCCCCTCGATATCTGTCCTAAGGCCCCACTCTAGAATGGAGGGAAAACCAGCCCTGACCTTCAGTGGTTCCCCTGCTCACATCTCACAGTGTCGTGGGGTTCTGGTGGTTCTCTCAGTGAGGACTCACTATGTTGCTAAGGCCCGCTTTCAACTCCTGGGCTCCAGTGATCTTCCTGCCTTAGCCTCCTGAGTAGCTGGAACTAGAGGGGTGCCACCACGTCTGACTTCTGTCATGAGTTTCTAAGTTACATGCAGCCTTGCTCTTTAAAGAAAAAGAAAAGATGTAGGAAATTCTGTTTTCTTCTTTTCTTCTCGCATGACCCCATCATTGCAACTTTCCTGTGTTTCTTACGGGCCCCACTCTGACTGCACGTCTGGGGCTGCAGCACTGCACAGGGCTGTGGGTCACCCCAGCCTGGGAGGACAGCCTTGGTTTTTGGAAGTATACACGAAAGTGCTTGTGGGTGAAGGACACCAAGGATGCAAATGACTTGCAAGCAGTGCAAAGAAAGATGCTTTTAGAGAGCCAGAAGGACCCAACAACTATGCTCAACGTCTAACATTTGGGGAGACCCGGTGAAGGGCACAAGGGAATTGCTTCTTGCAGGTCATGGAAAATGTTTTAGATATCTTGTAGGGCTGGGCTGGTGCTCAGGGGTGGAGTCTGGGCTTACCATGCTCAGGGCCCTGCCTTTCATCCCTGACACCAAAAAGTTATTTAAAAATGGCTGAAACACCAGGCATGGTGGCACATGCCTATAATCCCAGCACTTGGGAGGCTGAGGCAGGAGTATCTCCAATTCTAGGCTTCTACCTAGGCTTCATAATGAATTCAATGTCATTCTGAACTAATATCCAGACCCTGTCTCAAAAAATAACAAATAAACAAGCTGGGCGTGGTGCTGCACGCCTGTAATCCCAGAACTCAGGAGGCTCAGGCAGGAGGATCCCTGTGAGTTGAGACCAGCCTGGGCTACACAGTGAGTTACAGGGCAATCTCGACTACATAGTGAGACCCTGTCTCAAAAAACCAAAACAGACAAATGGCCGAGATGCAGAAGTGAGGGAGTGACATTTCCTAAGAGACAAGACAACTGTGCAGAACAGAGGATTCTCCAGAAAACACTCCAGCCCTCCCCACCCAGAAGAAGGGATTTGTTCTAAGGAGCTGGTACAAGGGACTGTCAGGTTGAGTTTCTGTAAGGCCTTCATCAACAGGAGGGGACAGATGGATTAGGTCTCCCTGCCAGCTCCCAAAATCTCCCAAAATCTCTGCTCCAGCAGGAGCAGAGGAGCGGGAGGCCAAGCTGACACTAGGGATTCAGGATTCAGTCACGTGCGCTCCCACACCCGCTCTCCCCAGGGCTTCCATCTGGCCGCTCCTGCTTCAAGGCATCACACTCCTGGCCAGGACGGACACGATGCAGACGTAAGTAAGGTGCTTCCCCAAGCTGAGGGAGATCCTCGCTACCCTCACACCCAAAGAGGGAGGCCTGACTTGTGACACATCCATGAGGGCAGATCTGAGGGACTGAACCCTTAACCTATGGGCTCTGCGGCTGACTCCACTTACACAGTGTCAGAAACAAGGTAAACTGCAGATGCCCGCCCCTGAGGACCAGCTGGTGCGGGAAGCACTCAGACCGAAGGTCCCTGTGCTGATTCACAATGCCAAGGGGACACCCGCATGGCGGCATCTCCTGCAGCTCTGTCCACAGCAGGCAGACACAGAAACGGCCACAGTGTGGTCCATGCATGAGCAGGGATGTACTAGATGCAGCGGAATATTCACAGCCATAAATAGGGTAAGGCTGCTGGGCTGGGGATTTAGCTCGGTGGTTCTACCGCCTTCCTCACAAGCACAAGGATCCGAGTTCGATCCCGGTACCAAAAAAAAAGGGGTGGGGTAAGGCTGGACTAGGGTGTAGCTCGGGAGTCAAGGCTTCACCTAGCACAAATATGGCCCCAAGTTTGATCCTCAGCACCATAAGAAGAAATAAAGAAATAAAGAAAGCAAGCAGGCTAGTGTCCTGTGATACATAGCTAGAACTGGGCAACCCTGTTACATGCATTAAGTTAGGCACCAAAAGACAAGTGCCGTATAGTCTCGTTGAGATGTGGAGGATTCTTGAGCTGTTCTCACAGCAGTTGAGAGTAGGACAGCAATTACCAGAGCCTGGGGACAGTTGAGGGGAAGCAGCAAGGGAGAAAGGTTGGTCAATGGTTTTGAGTTACAGCCAGACAGGGAGTGGGTTCCAGTTCTGTCCACAGGAGAGGAGTACTGAGCATAAGGACAGCAGAGCAAAGGACTCTGGATGACTTCATTACCGAGAAGTGAAAAATGTCTGCAGAGACAGATCTGCGTGCCGATTTGACCACTACACTGTGTACATTTGCTGGCATCACTGGCACCCCACAAGTATGGACAACTTTTAAGCGTCAATTTTAATATGTTTTACATAAGAAAATCCACTCATTTAAAAGCTAATCTCAAAAACAGCTAAAAAAAGAGAACCTAATCCCCAAAATCTAATCCCCCAAAACACCTTCTTAGAAAATCCAGAATAATGTCAAAACACCAGCCATGATAGCCTACAGGAGCAGGCCCACTGTCTCTGAGGGAAATCACAGCACTGCACCCACAAGCATCTTACTGGTAACAGGGCTCTATCCTCCCCCTCCTTTCACCAGTAGTCAGAAGGCAGGGGGATCAGCAACATTGGACAGCTGCCCACCAAAGCCCAGGGCTGCTGACATGGGACTGCAAGGAGCCACACAGACAGTAGGAATACATTGGAACTCAGGAAGATGTGCAGCTGGCCTACCACTGACAGAATGAGACCCTAGCTCCAATTACTTACTGTAACTTCTGAATCCATCCTGGAGTAAGACAAATGAAACTTAGTGATTATCTTATTAAAAATATTTAAAGGCATGGTGGCACATGCCTGTAATCCCAGCACTCAGGAGGCTGAGGCAGGAGGATCACTGTGAGTTCGAAACCAGCCTGGGCTACGTAGTGAGTTCCAAGTCAGTCTCAACTACATAGTGAGACTCTTGTCTCAAAAGAGAAAAAAAAAATTTTAAACAGGGTGGGTGTGGTGGTGCACACCAGTGATCCCAGCACTCCGCTGAGGCAAGAGGATCACAGCAAGTTCAAGGGCACCCTGGGCTACAGTAGTGAGTTCAGAAGAACAACTTGAACTGCATAGTGAGACCCTGTCTCAAAACAAAACAAGAAGAGTGGTAGAGCCAGAACCAGGAGTCTGTGGGTGGGGAATATAGCCCAGGGGAGCACTTGCCTTACATAGGTGACCTAAGGGCAAGGCCCTAGGTTGTAGTTCCAGCACCAAAAAATAAACAAAAAGGTAAAAGGAGCCGCCCTCACCACCCGGCGCCACACAATTCCCTCTCAATCTCGCTGGAGTTTCAGAGAACTGTAAACATTTATAGCCAAGTGCTACCTCTCCCTCTCCATTCTGGCCAGATTCTGTGACTAGATTTGCCAGGCAGGTTGCTTGGGAAATCTTCCTATGAGCACTCCAAGTATCTATTGTTTCTGCTACTTCTAAAAATAAAGTGCTAAAGAGTTATGAAACAATGGACTCAGCACCACACTATTCTGTATAATAAAATAAGTGTTTCTACCAGAATTTTAAAAGAAGCTGCAGGACACAAATATTTAAAGTATTTACAATGTTATCCCTAGGTAGTGAGACTACAATTAGTTTTTCCTTGGCTTCCTTGTGTTTTCTAATGTTTTCTCCAGGAATCATAAGGACTGCCATATGTTTGTTTTTATTTTTGAGACAGGGTCTCACTATGTAGTTGAGACTGACCTGGAACTCAGTAGTTAGCCCAGGCTGGCCTTGAACTCACAGCGATTCTCCTGCCTCAGCCTCCCAAGTGCTGGGATTACAGGTGTGAGCCACCACATCCAGATGAGGACTGTCATATTTTAAAGACAAAGGTAAATAAAAGCTGTGTATGCCACAAACAGGACACTGCACCACCGCCTTTTAGAACTGCAGCACAAGCCTGAGCCGCTCCTGGGCTGGGGTCAGACTGCAACTCCTTTCCTGAAGCCGCCTCTGCTCAGAGGTTCTGGACTTCTCTCTGGTCGGTTATAAGCAAACAATAAAAGTTTTGCAGAGGAGATGACAGACTTATTTTCATCATGAGTTAGTCACAGAAGCACTTAAAAGGCCAAGGTTCCACTCTTCCATGGCCTTCCTATCCAGAATAAGTAAACAGGCTCCATTTATAGGCTGTGGTTTCTTTAAAAGAGAAAGGTTTCCACCTACAACCGAAGTAGACAGGACCAGGAAACCTGCTCTGTTAGAGGGACCAAGCAGATTGTGAAGGTCATTTCCGCCATCCCCAGCCTAGCCCTGACTCCATAGCCACAGGCTATTAGGAGTCCTAGGTGCCCTCCAGCTCCAGGGAAAAGTCCTGCCACCTCTGCCCCAACAGCAGAACAATAAAAGTGAGGTTGCCAGTCTGAGCTCCCCCACTGGTGGGGAAATCCTGGGGCTCTGCCTCCTGCCAGCTCCCTGGCAGCTGTCCCAAGCCCTCATTGTAATAACCTGCTTTAGTGTTTGGTGCCTTCTTTCTAAGCTGTCTTGCATACTAAGTACAAAGAGGCCCAATTGGCACCTAAAAAATCCTGTCCTTTTTACTTTCTTTATTTTAGGGGGAAAAAAACGCATGTCCCAGAATGAGTTTGGAAAAGCCATCCATTCACCCATAGCAATGTTAAATGTATCGTAATAACTTACAAAAACACTCTAAAATACTGCCAATGACATCTCTGCAAACTGGCCTCAGGCTTGCAAGTATGTCTGTCCACAGTGTCCCCAACACCCTACTGTGGCAAAGACAAAAATGCACGGTCAGGGCAAACACCACAAAGGCCCCCTGAGGCTGTCCAAGACTACACACACTGCAATCTGAAAAACCCTACCTATGAATTGACAGTCAGCCCTGGAAAACTGAGTGCAATTTTTTTTTAAATGTTTGTGAGTGAAACAGAAAAAACACAAAACTGTGCAACATTTTGTTTTTCAGGACGTGGGATTGAACCCAGGCCCTGTAGCACCAAGCTACATCTCCAGCTCAACACTCTCCTTTTCAATGCGGTGTACCTTAGGGTGGAGATCTGGAAGGGTGCACTCCTTGAGTTTAAGGTTAGTAATGAGGATAATCGGTGGCTTTAAAGTATTTTTATATTTTCCTATTGCAAGAGAATTTTTGCAAAATGTAAAAAGTAACAATGGCTAAAACAATCTGTGATTTCTCTACGGAAGGGGGGAGCCTCAGAGCCCCTCCCGCCGCAGCCGAGCAACAATTTCCCTCTAATAGGCCTCGCCAAATCAAGCCCCACAATTTGCCGCAGATTCCTCATCTCATCCCTTCCAACCCATAAAAACGCCGGGCCGGATTCCAGATCCGTTTCTCCCACTCTTGATGCAGAAAACAAAAGGGTGGAGAGAGGGAGGGAGAGAGGGAGAGAGGGAG